AAAAAAAAAAAAAAAAAAGAAAAAAATCCATGACACATGGAAGAAATATTGAACCAAGTTCTTGCTGGGTCTAACTTTTCAAAATAGCTACCCAACCAAAATTGCTTTTGTATGAGTTGTTTTTCCAGTCGGTTAGCCTGAATTTAACCAAAATTTGAAGAGTGTGCAATTATATCCTGAGATGTGTAAACATTAAATCTGATGGTTGAGATATTTTAGAAAATAAAATAATAAAAGTTAAAGATAAATCGTAAGTGCATGCTGCATATATAAGTTTGCACACTTCCACTTGTTTGGTAAAACTATATTCATTTTCGTCTTCTTATCCAATTTTGTTCTAAATAGAGAAATAAGTTGTTAGAAAAACAAAAAAAGGATTTTTATAATACATGCCATAAGTTAAAGGTGTTAAAAGATCTATTAATTATATATTTTTATAATTAATTTATATAAAAATAATTAATTTACATAAAAAATAAAAATTAATTTTAAATTTATTAATTACTCAATTATCGAACACATTTTTTTTTTATCTTAGTTGCACAATGAGAGGAAATCATTTCTCATCTCTTATCTCATTTCATCCATATCATATACAATTCGAATTCAAAATCTTTTATTTTTAACATAAAAAATGATCATTAAACAATTTAAATCATTGATATCGAACACATTAATTACTCCATTATAATTATACACATAACATTTATATTAAAAAATAATATTTATTTTAATTTTTTTATAAAAATTTGTTAAAAAAAATACATTCTCCTAATATTTTTACTTAAATTAATTCCATACCTTGATTACTCAAAATATATTTACTTTCATTTTCACAACAGCCAAACCAGGCACCGTGTCCATATCATCCCCACTCCCACCCACCCCCCGCCCCCCAAAAAACAAAAAAAGAGAATCAACCGAACCAATCAAACAGAACGTCAAAATTTCGGTTTCATCTTCTTCTGTACCCTCCACACTGCACGTTCTGTCAAAGGAAAACAGGTTTTTTTGTACGGTAACCAAAGGAAAACAGGTTCACACGAAACTTCCTTGCTTCGGCATTTTTACAGCACTTTGTTTGTCAGCGAGTGGTCTCTGTCCAGTGTGTCTACATCTGTATGTGTATCTAAAATCTAAAGCTATTACGCCCCAACTGGTACCGACGCTCCATTGGATCTTCAAAATCCGTTACAGATTACCCTTTTGTAATTTGAATGCTTCTCACCCTCTAGTGGGTAAACGTACAGATATTTTTTGAAGTACTGTGGGGTCTGTGAGCTAACAAAATTGTATGTGTGGGTTATTTCTTGGGTGTGAATTTACATTTTTACAGTGTTCTCACTTTGTGTAGGATCGAAGTTTGCATTATTATATAAGAGTTCGCTTATTGGGGTGGTGGATTAGAGATCTGGGTCTTGAAGATCATTAAATAAAAAAAAGAAAAAGAAAAAAAGAAAGGAGATCTGGGTCTTGGTTGATTGAAGATGAGGAGTTCAGACGAGAAGGTGGTTGCTGTGATCATGGTGGGAGGACCCACGAAAGGTATGAGCTTTGTCTTCTTTGGTTCTGCAGAAATGCTGACAACAATTTGAGTTGCATGAGAAAATTTTTGAAAATTATTAGCTGGGATCGGGGATTGATTATTTGCAATGAGTAATGGGATCCAAGATCGACTCTTGGGCTTAATTGAGTTAGTTGTTGATATTCAAGCTTTTTCGACTTTTTTTTTCAGTAATTTGTTTCATTGCATGGCCAATGTTCGGCATTTTGACATTACCTTCCATTGAATTCTGTTGGAATTTCTGCTTGTGGTAGGTACTCGATTTCGACCTTTGTCATTGAATATTCCCAAGCCTCTGTTTCCTTTAGCAGGACAACCAATGGTTCACCACCCAATTTCTGCTTGTAAAAGGGTATGTATGGTAACTTTGATCCAAACGAAAGGACAGCAGAATTACCCTTTTTCCTATTTTATGTATCTGATATGTGATTAAGAACAATGTTTCTGTGTATAGATTCCAAACCTGGCACAGATCTATCTGGTAGGTTTCTATGAGGAGCGTGAATTTGCATTGTATGTCTCATCAATATCTAATGAGCTTAAAGTTCCTGTCAGGTAACTCCTTGCTTTCCTTTGGGCTTTTAGCATATGTATTATTTTTTGGTCTCCATTTTTTTTAATTCAATCTTATTGTCATTCCCATTGTTGATGCTGCTTTTAGGTATTTGAAGGAAGAAAAGCCACATGGTTCAGCTGGGGGACTGTATAACTTCAGAGATCTGATCATGGAAGACAATCCGGTTTTTAGCTTAAACTGTCCTCTCTCTATTGGCATAGTCTGTCTTGTGCAGTATAAAGAGTGAACTATGCACAAACATTTTTGTCATTTTTTGTAGATTGTAATTATTGATGTTCATAATTTAAAAACACTTTGCTATGTGGGTTATATAAGGCCCATTTAACTTGCTAAGTATATTTGTCCTGTGATTTTGCAGTCTCATGTCTTCTTGCTGAACTGCGATGTTTGCTGCAGTTTTCCACTGCCAGAAATGCTTGGTAACCCTGTTGAACCATATATTTACTCATGTTTCAATATTAATTTGCAGATGAGATATTCATTTTGAATGTCACACATGTTATACATTTCTTATCCAATAACTTTGATGTTATTGTAGTTAGAGTATGGTTAAAGTGGCTTTGATCTTCTGAGGTTGTTGGTTTGTAGTTTATATTGTTCTTGTGAAGGCCCTAATTTTGCCTTTTGCCCTTGCTGTTCACAGAGGCACACAAAAGATATGGTGGGATGGGCACTATCCTAGTAATCAAGGTTGGTTAGCACAAAAGGAGATGTTCCCATGCTGAAATCTTTATCAACATCCAATTGTTTGACATAAGGGTATACTTCTAACTGCATTTGACTTCATTAGTCTTCTGTTTACAGGTTTCAGCTGAGTCAGCCAGTGAGTTTGGGGAGTTAGTAGCAGATCCAATTACCAATGAACTCTTGCATTATACTGAGAAACCTGAAACTTTCGTATGTATAATATCAACGAATTACTGCCATTTAACATATTGTTAATCTTTCTTTATATGAATGTTCAGTTCATTTGAATTAATAGACTGCCATGTTCTGACAATTTATCATATTGCAGGTAAGTGACCGGATAAATTGTGGTGTCTATGTATTTACACCAGATATTTTTACTGCCATCCAGGGTGTTTCCTCTCAAAGGAAAGACAGAGGTTAGTGATCAGGATCGCTCAAAATGCAATGTTTTGTTTTGTGTTAGTGTGCAAGACTTGGATATATTTTTACTCAGTAACACAGTCCTGCTACCTCTAGATTGCATTGTTTTTCATTGTGTTGAAATCTGACCATTGGCCTTTTTGTTTGCAGCTAATCTGAGACGTATGTCCAGCTTTGATGCCCTCCAGTCAGCTGCAAGGTACCACCATACCTTTCCTCTATGTTCCATGAATCACAGCAATAATAGATGCATTTGATTTATGATATTTGCTTTAATATAAATCTATGCCACCATTGATTGGGATCTTTTAGTTTGTGAATTTGGAAATCAATATTGACTGTTTTTTATTTATAACTTAGACTTCAACACTATATGGTATAGGAAAGATTAAGCATAATTAATTCCACTTTGATGGAACTTGATAAAATGGTCATGCGATCCTTGTTTAGAGAATAAAGGGGAAACTATACATTGACAATCTTTTAGTTTTTGAAACAAAGAATGATGTCATTCTCAACCTTGTTCCTAATATAAGTTTCTGTAACAGGAATCCTCCCACAGATTTTGTCAGACTAGATCAAGACATCCTGACCCCTCTTGCAGGAAAGAAGCAATTATATACATATGAAACCATGGATTTCTGGGAACAAATTAAAACCCCTGGGTAAGAAGAAAGTAGAAACCAATTAAGGTGTCTTTTTTGTTCCTCCCCATGTTTTCCTGCCACATTTTTTATTTGATAACAGAAGGAATAAAGGCTGGGTTGCTGGATGTAATAACATATCTGTCTTGACCTGACACTTTTTAATCAATCCTTGTAGAATGTCCCTAAAATGCTCTGCTTTGTATCTTGCCCAATTTCGATTTACCTCCCCCAATCTCTTGGCTCATGGAGATGGTACAAATAGTGCAACAATTATTGGTGATGTGTATATTCATCCATCAGCAAAAGTGCATCCAAGTGCCAAGGTAATTTCTTTTAATTACTTTCTGAATTGTGATGTCCTTATAGCATAAAACATAGTTGGAGTACTCAATCATGCAAATAGTGATGCAATTATTAATATTTCCTTTGATAATTGGAATTAATAAAAAATCATGTGTTGCAGCCCAAGTTACTTCTGGCATGTATTAGCGTACTGAGTAGTTTACTACTTAACAGAACTTGCTTTCATATTATCTTCAATGGCCATCAGACTTACTTTTAGATGATTTAGGAAATGATTATTTTGTGTGTCATATTACTGGATTGGATGGTGCCTTTGCTTGTAGCAAGGACATGCATCAACTGTATTTCATGGTTTGTTTTGTGTTGCTGTGAATAGCAAAAGAAAATGATATCCAAAATCTTTACTTCATTTACAGTTGTACCCCAAATGGCCATTGAATGAAGTGTGCACTGCACACTTGGAGTCTGGGTTGCTTTACCTTATGCAGGATCCCTCTTTCCCATTTTTCGTTTTCTGCCAACCTCTTTCTGGTTCATAACCAGTATTGTATTCATGGTATTGATTGAAATAAGCAAACAGAAACCATATGGAGATTATATGAACCATTTGTAGCCAAAAATAGCGTAATCATTTCCTATTTTTACATGCACATCCTTTGCTGCTGCATATAGGATTGACTGCTTCTAATTATTAAACAGATTGGTCCTAATGTCTCAATCTCTGCCAATGCTCGCATAGGAGCAGGTGTAAGGCTTATCAGTTGTATCATCCTTGATGGTGTTGAAATTATGGTATGTAGCCAATTTCAAGGATTTAAACAGAAGTTTTGGTATTTTCCTTAAATCCCTTACCCAATTCATATTCTGTCACTCAGGAAAATGCAGTTGTTACCAACGCAATTGTTGGGTGGAAGTCTTTAATTGGTAGATGGTCCCGGGTTCAGGCAAGTATTGCTTGCTAGTATATTTCTATGATTTATCAAAGCCTTCATCTAAATTCGATTGACTGGTTGCAGGCTGGAGGACATTACAATGCTAAACTTGGCATTACAATTCTTGGTACAACAATAAAACACCTTGCTTTAATTATCATCTTTTCCCATTTCGGTGAAATTGCTATTGACACTGCGTAATCTGAAACTTACAGGAGAAGCAGTGGCAGTTGAAGATGAAGTAGTAGTGACCAATAGCATTGTTCTTCCCCACAAGACGCTCAATGTTAGTGTCCAAGAAGAAATCCTCCTGTAACAACTCCATCTCATAACCATTTGCAGAATACAAGCACTCTCAAACTTTTGTAATTCTATTAATAATTTGTAAATTGAGTCTGCTTCCAGATTAGAATAAGGAATTTTGGGTTACTTTTATCATGTACAAGCACATTTCAGTTTTCATATGGTAATAATAATATTATGACTGCTTTAGTTGCCTTATTTCTTTCTATATGGTTTTGTGGGTGTAACCGAAGGATTCTTTAGGGTATGTTTGGTCGGAGGGAAGGGGAGAAGAGGAGAATGGATGTTGTATTTCCATTTCCCTTCACTCCATTTAAATAAATGAATTCCATTCCATTCCCTTTGATTTGTGTAATAATCAAATAAAAAAATTTTCACTCTTCTTCCCTACACTTTCTTTGGTATCAAATAAAAGAATTTTCATTTCTCTCCTTTCAAACCAAAAATGTCCGTAGGGAGTCTTTAGTTGGGAAGAAACTCTTCTCATTAAATTTCTCTTAACTTTTCCTTTTTATAAGGTTATTTACATATTTTTATACATTAACACTATAACAAAGGATAAAAATAATATTTTTTATTTTTATTTTTTCTAATATAACCCCCAACCCATAAACTTTTTTCCCCATACCTTTTGAAAGAAAAGATTTCTCCCATATGTAA